AGCAGAGATCACTGCTTGCTGCAGGCTGGTTTTGAACTCCTAACCTTGAGGCTATCCAGCCTGCCTATGGCCTCCGGAGAGCTAGGATTACAGGCGTGAGCCACCACGCCGGCCAAGGACAAGCTCTTAAGAGCAAACAAAATACTTTAGAGCGTAAAAAAAGAGAATGGGCCGGCAAGGCACATGGCTCACGCCGGTCAATCCTAGCACTCCTGGGAGGCGCATAAGGCTGGAGGATTGCTGGAGGTCAGGAGTTCGACAAAACCAGCCTGAGAGTAGGAGACCTTGTGCATCGCCACTAATAATAGAAACCAAATGAACTGACCAACCTAAAAAAAATAAATATATATATTATAATAACCAATTAGCTGGGCATGGGTGTGCATGCCTGTAGTGCCCAGTTACTCGGGAAGGCTGAGGCAGTGGGATCGGCTTGAGCCCAGGAGCATTGAGCTTGCCTGTGAGTTAGGCCTGATGGCCATGGCCAGCTCACTCTAGCCTGGGCAACAGCAGACTCCTGTTGGGAAAAAAAAAAAAAAAAGTAACAACCTTTATCTAGTTCTAATTTTGAGCTTTGTATTTGAAGCGCATTCTACTTTTTTTTCGAGACAGCAGTCTCACGCTTTGTTGCGCCCAGGTCTAAAGTGACGTGCCGGGCATCAGCCTAGTCTCATATAGCAAGCGCCTCAAACCTGCCTGGGCTCAAGCAATCGCTTCTGCCTTCAGCCTTCCGAGTAACTGACTAAAGGCATTGGCACCACCATGCCCGGCTAATTTTTCTATATAAATTAGTGGGCGCAATTAATTCTTTCATGTTAAATAGTAGAGAGCTGGATTTTGCTTCGCTTGCGGCGCGTTGGTTTCCACTCCGACGCTCGAGCAATCCACGCTGCTTGGGCCTCCCAGAGTGCTAGATTACAGGTTATGTACAGCCACCGTGCCGGGCCATAATTGGTTACCGTTACAATGAATATACGATATATTAACCATCAAACTATCAACGCGCATTCTTAACATTCAATTTAGGATAAAAATTATATTTAATGTATGGAATGTAATGCTTCCCCCAATCAACCTGAGTTTTTAATTTGTCCTACACACAGATCACTGCCGCCACAACTCATACCTGTTCAAAATATAAATTTTAAATACCTGCATAGTATTTATTAGAGTTACTCATAGCTTACATAACACCATTCTCCAAATGTTGGACCACCTTAGATGGTTTTCAATGATTTTTGCAACTAAACCACTTTGCCTATATGTATTCAATACACTAAACATTCTTGAACCCTTTTTATTTTGAATAATTAGCAGATTTG